AATGCCTGCTCACAACCCATAATCAATAAAAGAGGCGAAATATTGGAGATTAGTGAAAACACTAGCGCCATTGTCGTATATCCGCAGCTGATCATATCAATATTACATCGTTATTCAGATTGGCATCGTTCTGGAGTGGAACACTCCGAAGTACTGGACATGTTATTCCTAAGTATTTTGGCGTTGACCAGCGAAAAACATCCACATCGAGATTTAAATTTATATCAATTGAGTGAAGCTGGTCTACTCAAGGAGCTACTCAATTTATGCAAAGTTTATGTGATTGAATCACCAAATCCGGTGTACATATCGGCAAGTGCAGCTGAATCATTTGTGGCCATATTGTCAGTTTTTGCTGGTTCGCCACCATCCACATCGCTAATGGATGAAATAATGAAATTGGCCTTACTTCTGCAAAAGCCCAGTGAATGTTACATCACACATGATAGATCGAAATTCTATTTTCTCTTAACATCACAGCCGCCAGTTAGAGAAAAATTATCAACGGTGTCCAGCTTTAATCGAGTCGCAACGCCATTTCGACGTAGATCTAAACGAGAGCGACCTGGCATCGCAGTCCCTATTGCAGTACCGACACCAGATGCGAATACAAATGCGAAGCAAAATGAGAAAATTAAGCGTTTACGGCGTTTGCATATATCAGCCGCCAGCTCACCTTTCAGACGCAATTTGCTTGAGCTCGAAGATAATTTGGAAAATGTCGCTGACTGTGGCAGATTAAACAAGAAAGCTTTACGCTTACTAAGCCCGTTAGATATCGAGAATTGGCGTACAAGATTCAAACACAGTTCGAATTGGAATATGCCGGCGAGTCCAGTAAAGAAATTACATACTTCGAATAATACTGAGAAATATTTATCTGTATCACCATGGTCTCCAAACAAAATTAGTCATAAACGCTTAAGATATGCTTGTTTTAGTCAAAGTGTAAACATGGATAATCCCAAGGTTAAAAAACGTGAAAAACACTTGGGGACAACGTCAATTACTAGCATTGATTTTGTTAGTTCGGATAAGGAAATCCTCGCCAGGCATAATTTAGGCCTATCTTCAGTGCCAGTCACTTCACAACAACGTCGAAGTAGACTACTGGTAAAAACTGATTTCTATAATTGGCATGGCATTATAGCCTTACAGGAGGGACTGCTAACGTTGTTGAAAAATTTTCTTTGTCTCTTGCCGGATAACGCAGTGGAAGAGGTAAAGTTAGGCACAGCAACGAATTACTAACCAGTTTTCATATTTAACGCTTTTGAATTTACAGGTTTTAAAGCACTACGTTAAAGTGGATATCATTTTAGTGTTATCCAATAATGGGAGCTGTGCTGTGCGTACCGCCATAATTAAATTATTAGCGGTACTTTTGAAGCGTCTACAACAAAGTGACATAGTTGCGCATGTGAAAAGCTTATATCCCCAGCACTTGGCAAATCAAATGTCTTTATATGCAACTGATATGCAGATGTTTGAAGCTTGTTTGGAATGGGTTACTGGCACATATAATAGTTCGTCAACAGTTCTGAGCTCCGACATGACTTTGCACCTGGTTGACCGTTTCGGAATCAATGCTCTTTTGTCAATTGTAATAAATATGGCTAACAATCAAAATAGCCATAAGGCAAAGGCCTTCAAAATTCTCAACAAAATGTTTAACACTGTACGTATTAAGGTATTTTTTTTTTATATTAAACTCACCTAGAGCTTTCTTTAACTTTTCAGGACACAGAACAGCAGCAACTTTTGATTGATGCCGGTTTGCTGCTTTGTTGCACTAAATCGCTTTTCAATCTATATTTAGGCTCAAACGTTGTAGATTCTTTGTTAGAAGAATCGATACTGGCGCTTTTAACGAAAATAGGAGAGAAGTCGTTGAAATCAGTTGGTCTCATCAAGGTTAGCACTAAGGAGTCGCGCATACAGAGCGCTTATAGTTGAGCCGGATGATGAACTTATAATCAAGCCGATGAGCACTCAAAGCTTATACTGTGTTTTGGTTTGTGTGTTGTTTAAACAAGCATCCTTGTTTTTCCTATGCGTTCGTATAAAAACTAGAAACCGTATGATGTTTACAAGCAAAATAGCACACTTGAGCGGTAATCGAATGTTAATCAAAGCAAATGATCAAATGTGTGCTAGCGAGAATGTAATCTCTTTCGAATTAACCTCAGTTTTCTTTTATCAGTGTGCTTTGTATCTAATCCCTCAGTTCTGCTTGCTGATAACATCCCCATCCTAAGCTTGCGTTCATATCTCGGTTCAGCTGTAAGCGGCCTGTGTGCGCGAGCACTTATATGTAAACTATGCCCTTATCCTAACCGTTTTCTTTAAAAATTCGAAATATCTTACGACTTTAGGTTGTTTGGGATATTTTAAACATGCTTACATTCCTACACGAAGGTGCAAGTGCCGTGGTTATCAAAAATTTACGTTCTGCGCAAGCGCGCTTACAATTAAAGTGGATAAGCATGTTTTTTGAGCCTGCAAATGAACCAACCACTTTTAAAGGTAAGCACCATAGAAAAAAATATACCTATGTCTTGATATCACCTACTTACTACTTGCACTTTACAGTTATTGTGCTGCCGAACTCTACGTTGTCTATTAACGAGACTAAAGAGAGACTGCGCTTACTCATAGATCGTTGTGCCCAGTTTTTCACCATTTGTGATACTAATTACACGTCTAGTGCTGCGGAGATAGAACTTTTCCAACTAATTGTTTCATATAGCATTTCCAC